TGCCCAGAACTCGTTCTACAACCCTGTAGCCAAATATGGCAGCGCGCAGAAGGTGATTATTGGAAACGTCTATTCGCAACTTTCAGCGATGGTGGCACCGCGGTGTAAGTATCGAGCTTCCTAGCTCTTGGATGATCAGCTTCACAATAAAGGTGCTTATCTACACGTTTCTGACTTGAAAAAATAAAGTAGGGTTCTAATACTGCTTCTATATAGCAAGACTAAAATTACTTAACGCGTCACAGACCAAGCCTCGTACTGCTGTTCTTCGACGACCATCCAGATGGCAGCCAGTTTGATATGCACCAGTGCGCCTCCTGTGGGCCGTCAAAGTTGCGAATACACCATTCCAATAATCGCCTACTCTGCGCTGCCGTCTTTGTCTACTGGGCTGTCGGACGCGTTCGGAGCATAATAATTTTTTTCCGGCTTTTTTATCGCCTTGCTGATAAGCGCTGCAAGGATGTCTATACCTGTTTTCACCTCAAGAACCGTAGTAAAACAAGTCCGACCCCTCGCTGAGCATTACTAATTTTGCACTTTGTGTTCATAATTAAGGTTATGTAGTGATTTTTAGATTAGATATATGTTATCTTAACAAGCCGAACACGTCCCGAATGCCAAAAGCATCGCGTTTTCCTCCGACAACTAAATCTAGTAAGAACTACTTCGCACCGCGCATGAACAATGCGCCAAACTTGCTTTTTTCCTTGAAGTGAAAACTGGTATAGTTCACATCTTTACCGAAACGCGCTGAAACAGCTGAGTCATGGTCAAAACCTATAAGGTGCTCTGCTGAGGAACTATATAGGGGTGTGCAAATAGTGCCAAATCGAATAGCGCAGCATCACCCATAGCCTTTATAGTGCAAAAGTGCAAAGGAAAGTCACGATATGCCGACTCTCTTTGCAGTATTCAAGCTAGGGATGACGCTGCACTTCTCTATTCGAAGCGATATTCACACGCCCCTAGTGAGTCCCGTTTTATTGTTCTTTTTCGGCGACGGATCTGGCTTTAAAGTTTAAACAAACAACTTTAGACACACCTAAACTGGATCAACGCCAAAAAAAAAAAATTAAAATGAGGCACCTAGCTAAACACCCGTTCCTTCGACTGTCCGCCACGTCGAGCAATCAGCCGACCGAGCAGATGGTCTGCCTGGGTGTCTTTCTTTCTTGCTTCGGTGGCGTGGCTCCACGTTATGCGGGCAGCTCCGGATGGAGGCCGGACATGCTTAGATATCACTGAACCCCGCAGACGATCCAGGCTGTACTGTGCCTGTTGGGAAGCTCCTTTTGGTTTGGTGGTGGCATTGAAGTCGGCCGCAACTTATTATTCGCGAACGCTCACGCCTTGCTGCTAAGGAAGGATGCCGCGGGAGAATATATTGTTGCGAGTAGACGGAGTGTCTTACTTGTGAGGTCATAATTCATATGATGTTTGAAAAATGCATGTTTATGAGCGCCTTACTGTTGATACTAGAAGAAAAAACACAAACAAAAAATAAACACTAATTTCACACACAAACAAAATTGGCAGCGATTTTTACTTTGCAAGTTCTATAATACGTGAAATGCAGTATTTAAGAAGTGATAAATTTAGTTTGTTTAGAAGACTGCCGGTACAACTAATTTCAACTGTACATAGATCTGGACCACTTTCCAATAAACATGTGACTCTGCGAGTGTACTTTCCCGACCACGTCGAGAGAAATCAATTCAGATAAACAATGGACGCCCAACCCACGAAGAGATTAATATCTTGACATGTACATAGAAATAACGCAATGCGAAATCATGTCTGCATTAAAGAGGCAGCGGCCGGTTAAGTACATTTTTCGATCATGGAAATAGTTCTTAAACCTGCCGACAAGGGCGGCGCGATAGCTGTAATGAACAAACAAGATTACCTCGACGAAGGCTTCCGCCAATTAAGCGACAACATATCAATATACCAAGAAATACCAACCGACACAACACAACATTTTGAGACCACTATTTCAGACATAATTGTGGACATGAATGAAGCCAGGGGATAACGGAGGAAGTCCTCAACGCGATAAAACCATCCCACTCGAAATCCGGCCGTTCTTACCTACTACCTAAAATAGCTAATAGGTATAGTAGTAGAGAGTAAAATTCCGGAGACCCATTGTCTCGGGATTTGTCACAGTAATAGAGCGTATCTCAAGCCTTGTAGACACTCAAGTCAGACATTCGTCCAAAATTACCCTCGTATGTCAAGGAAGTAATCACTTCTTGCTGAAAATCGGATAACTAGACATTCCCGATAATGTATTTCTCGTTACTCTTGATGTGACTTCGGAAGAAATTATGGCGGTGACCGAGGCTTACAAAACAGGCTGATAAGAAGTTCGACCTCGACGCAAACGTTCGTTCGACACAAATGAAACTCGTCTTGGAGTACAACAACTTTGAATTCAAGAACAATCACTTTCTGCAGAACAATGGAAAAGCCATCGGGGCCAAAAAGGCTCCTTATTACGCGAATATATTTATGGCACAGCTAGAAAACAGCTTCCTTTCCCAGCTCAATTTTTAACTGCTCTGTTACCAGAGCAGAGATATATCCACGACGTTTTTATGGTCTGGTCCAGTACAAAGAACGAACTTGTAAATTTTATCGCCGCCTTTAATTCCACTCACTCATCGATAAAGTTCACCCATTCCGTGTCATGGGACGGAATTAACTTTTTGGATGTAACTGTCAATATTGCCAACAAGTGAACTGCGAAACTCTATAGAAAACCTACTGATAGACAGCAGTACTTCCATTTCAACAGCTGCCATCCTCGGCAGTGTAAGACGAGTCTGCCCTGCCCTAGGCGCACAGATTTAAGCGAATATGCTCAAAAAGCGATAACTTTGAAGGAAACTCTCCGCAATTAAAACGCGTACTACTCGGCAGAAGTACCCTACTAGCGTAATTCCCGATGCAGTAAACAAGGCGAAGGATATGAACCTGGAAGATCTTATAAGAAAACAAAACCAACGCGTGCCACAAAAGCAGACAGAAAATCTAATTTCAAAATAATCAGACAATCTCCCTAATATCAATAACATAGTGCGCAAACATAATACTACGTGACAAAGCGACCGTCTCAAAGAAATCTTTCCCGACGGACCAAGCCTGATCTACTGACGCGGCAGGAATCTCAAGAACGTGTAAATCAAAAACTGCCATTCCTGAAATTTCTGGGTCTCGACCGTGCCAGAGGCCTGGGAGTAAAATATGGAACCATATGACCGAAACCCTGAGCGCCACCAGCACACACTCAAACTTCACGTGGAACGTCAGGGGTAGCTAGGACTGAAGCGCGCCTTGCGTTTAGGCTGCGTCTTAATGATCACAAAAGTCGCGCGAATACACGACCCCGGTTTGCCCTCATGAAACACCTGCGTGTGGACACATACGCCATCGACGATATCTCTGTTATAATCTTGGAATCCGTCTTGCGTACAGCCATCGAAACAGACCTAAAGCAATTTCATTCGCAAGTTCGACACGTTCAGACTGGGTCTGATTGAGAGGCCTGGAAGATTGTTCATCGTGCAGCTAGCTCCGCCCTAATAGCAGAAACATCGTTTCCTTCCGTCTCCCACCTTCCTAAGGAACACACGTTGGAGATACTGCGACCGGAAATTCAGCTTCAACAATTGGCACTCCCTCCCCAACCGTTTCCACGGATTTGATAGCAAAAAGAAAGCTTGTAAAATACCCAGGGGCAGGCATATGGACGGAGCTTCCCGCCCATTATCCCCCTTGCCTCACAAGGGATCTCGTGCTGGGTGGTTCGGGATCACGCGTGACCCATATTCGATTAAAGGGACCACCTCGGGAGGGAAGGGCGCCACGAGAGCGCACGACACGAGAGCGCCGACGGGAGAGCGCGCGACATGAGAGCGCTGCGACACGAGAGCGCACGACGGGAGAGCGCCGCGACACCAGAGCGCACGACGGGAGAGCGCCGCGACACCAGAGCGCACGACGGGAGAGCGCCGCGACACCAGAGCGCACGACGGGAGAGCGCCGCGACACCAGAGCGCACGACGGGAAAGCGTCGCGAAACGAGAGCGCCTGCCATTAGAGCGAGCGTCACGAGAGCGCATGTGCGTGCCTTGTTTTCTCGAATAGAACGATTTTTACGTCATTTTATTGGTTGAGGACGCAGACCTGTGGGAAGTTTAAAAAATACAATTGTACGGCTAAACGCCGTAAAATGTAACCAAACATTCCGCGGACCTACCCTTTGCAATCACCGGACACACAGAAAAACAAAAAGGACAAGGTCATATTCCGTAAAACGTTTTGGTCCCGCTAAAAACGGGTTAGCTGCGTTAGAGACGTCTTCTTCTGTAGTTTTTCTTCGGCTTCATGGTATCCAAATTTTCCGCCTCACTTTCGCGTTTGCACATCATGATTAACTATCCCCAGCTCGCCTGGACATTAACTGTATTGTTTGAAGAACGTTTGACACTGAAAAATTGAATGGAGTTCATGAGAACGTGAACCCTAAGACCTTTTTCCCTTTCCACTTATCTCTGAACAAAGGGCTGCTTCTTTTCACAGGTTCGAAAATAACTTTGGAGAACAATGGAAAGACGATCTCTTCGTCGCACTAAACCTGAACGAAAGAAATACAAGCATTGGAGAGGACAACCTGTGTGTTCTTTCACTGGAAAGCGGGTTAATTTAAACGTTCAGGTTTAACCCGAATTTTCTAAGGAGGCACACGCGAAGTTCCGGGACACGATTCTGGAGATACGGTGAAAGGGGTTACAACTTCCATGTCGGTCGGCCTTTGTTCATACGTAACAAAGGTCAAACTGTCCACCAATAACACCTATCGTTATTGGGAGAAACCCTTCCAAGGTTAATCAATCGTCAACCCTGGGTATAGAGGCGAATATAAAAGGGGAGCTGGGCACTGCGGGCGTTCGTGACGACTAAGTCGGATCTTCCAACGGAGTGCTGTTCTGGACGTGGAAATGCTATCGATCACAAAGTCCAAGAAAGATCATCCACTTTTGCAACACAATGGTTATTCCTATCGCCTGGATAGACTGAACGAGAACACCGGACAGAGGACATGGAGGTGCTCGAAAAAAAGCTGCAGCGGTCGAGCCACAACAGCGGGGTGGGACAGTGCACTGACCCTCGTCAAGGTAAGCAAACGGTTATTGTACCATAAAACAAATGTCTCTAGAATTTTTGATTTGTCAGAACTCGATTATGCGATTGAGCTATTACGTACGCCGCCTTCAGAGTGCCACCACCGAGTCGCCTTCAGTGTGCCATTTTTATAATAACATACTTTTAATATATCTGCACACTTGCGCAGACCACCGGCGAGCACCAGGGTCACCTGCCGAATCCCGATGTCTGTCGGGCAGAGGAAGTGATTGCTGCGGTCAAGGAGAAAGCCAGGACAACCGATTATCAACCGCGAATGATGATTGCGCAAGCTACCAGTGGCCTAACAAGTAAGCAGAGATATTTCACCAGGATTCTAACTAAACAAGTTCTTTAGATAATCGTGGTCGTCGTCATCGCAAGGAATCCTATAAATTTATAGACAACGACCTAAACTAAAAAGGATAAAAATAAAAGTTTGTTTTCTCACTCTCTCTCTCCAGCAGCCCCAAATACTTTCGTGGTGTTCCTAAGTGCAGAAAATTGACGATTTAATTACAGGTTCTGAGCGGCTGAAGCTTCCCTCGGTAAGCGCATTGGCCCGCTCAGCACAAAGGGCACGCCGCGCCTTAATCATGCCGCTGCCTGCTCCACAGCATATTCACGAGATCGACCTCCCCAGCTGGCTTGAATCGCTTCCAGACGGGCGATCGTTCTTGCTGTATGACTCTGGCGCACAAGACAAAGATCGCCTATTCATGTTTGCGACGGACGAGAACCTTCGACTCCTCAGCCAGTACGCTGACTGGTTCGCCGATGGCACTTTCGACGTCTCGCCGTCGCTCTTCCATCAGGTACGACGCACGCCTTGGTTGCTCTACATATGTAAGACCTGGCGGCTTTAAATTTTTGTTCTAAAAATTTGTATGTGACTACAGTGCGACGCTTCCATCTCATCGGGTCGCTTCCAAAATAGTGCGCCCTTACTTTGCAGGTCTGTACCATCCACGGACTTGTTCATGGCAAGGTGCTACCGCTAGTCTACTTACTGCCTGATGACTAAACGGAGCCAGGAAGCCTACGGGCGCGTTTTCAGGACACTCAAGGAACTTTGCCCCCGACTGTCACCTCAGACGTTAATGATGGATTTTGAAGTGGCGGCCAAGCGAGCTTTTCAGTCGGTGTTCCCGACAGCCAAAGTGACGGGCTGCTTCTTCCACCTAAAACAGTCGTTTGTTCGTCGGATGCAGGAGGAGCACCTCATCGTCAGGTAAATCAGTCAAAATAACAAGTAATTATTGACCTCTCAGGTATGAAATTTTCTACGCAGATATCGTGAGGACGGTGACTTCCGAAGAAGAGTGAGCATGATACCGGCACTGGCGTTTGTTCGACCCGGTGACATTGCGCGAGGTAAAGAGAATTTTTAGTACTGGCGGGCAAGGCCTCGTGCGTTGCCAGCCTCGTTGTCATATCAACGTCGTGCAAGACTGATTTCCGTTACTTGTCTGGATTGGTTCTCGTTAAATCTGGTCTTAGTTTAAGAATTTATGTACATTGCTTTTGTAATTATCAGCATTTTGCGTTTGTTTGTGTCCAGGACTGGAAGAGCTCCAAGACGATGCTCCCTCAACAGACGACGGCCTCAACAAAATGTTCGATTACTTCGAGAGGACGTACGTGGGCTCCAGCATCGGAAGGAGCCGCTCGCGTAGGCCAGCACTTTTCCCGCATGACTTCTGGAGCTGCTACGAACGGATCACCGAAGGGCTCCCGAGGACCAACAACCACGTCGAGTCCTGGCACAATGCATTCCAGAAGTCCTTGGGGCTGCATCATCCGGACACGTACAAGCTAGTGGCCGCATTCCTAAGGGAGCAGAGCTTGACAGAGCAGAAGCTGGCAGATGTACTTCGCGGAGAGCCTCAAAGGAGCAGCAAGGCCACCTACGTCCGCGTAGCAAAGAATCTGAGCAAGCTGGTTGAAGAGTACGACCAAAGGTGCATGCTAGAGTACCTCCGCGGTGTCGCGCAATCATTCAGTCTTTGAAATTTTTTTTTAGTACTATGGAACGGAAATTGATAAACAACTATATTTCCGAAACTCTGTATCTTGCGTCTTCATTACTAGTTTGCGGAAATTGTATTTTTTAGACTTCCCACAGGTCTGCGTGCTCAGCCAATAAAATGACGTAAGGCGTTCGATTCGAGAAAACAAGGCGCGCACATGTGCTCTCGTGACGCGCGCTCTAATGGCAGGCGCTCTCGAGTCGCGACGCTCTCCCGTCGTGCGCTCTGGTGTCGCGGCGCTCTCCCGTCGTGCGCTCTCGTGTCGCAGCGCTCTCCTGTCGCGCGCTCTCCCGTCTGCGCTCTTGTGTCGTGCACTCTCGTGTCGTACAGCCCCTCGGGAGACAGACTAACGTATACTTTCTCCGGATGTCTCTCCTTGTCCGATGTTTCGTCTTGCACCTTTTCCTTCCTTTGTTCGATGCGAATTATCGAGTGAGCGCGTGCATCAACACCTTTGATGCCGCCACGATTCCCCCCCTCCTTTTTTTTTGGGGGGGGGGGGGGAGGGGGGGAGTGGGGGGGGGGGGGGGGGGTACCGTGCTCTCTTCGCCCCCTCCTTTTGTCGTTTTCTTCTTTTGTGAGGCAAATTGGGGACAAATGTGCAAAGAACGTTTTTTGCGAGTCACGGGATCTTTGCTTTTATCGAGAACCTTCGCGACTTTTCCGTCACCCCGACCGCCGACCATGCGGCGTCTCGCGGGGTCGATGACGGTCCGCCCGCGTTCTACGGGACGCGGTGATTGGAAGCTAACCCACCCTTAGGCTCTATTTTATTTATTATTCCCTTTCGTTTTATGGCCTTCCGTTTGTATCACTGTTGGGTCTGTTGGACTTGGGCGGAATCACGCCAGGTTCACGCAGGAATACCATTCTGAAGAAAAGCGGTCCCCGCTCGAAACATCATATTAAACATCCTCCTTAGAAACTTCTCAGTGCATGCCTTATTTATGCCAACTTTACCCGGCCAATAGCTTTACCTCGCTCTACCTTACCTATATAGAAACTTTATAAAGTAAAGGTCAGGTGACGTACGATCATGTGACGTCAATCTTCCCACTAAATTTAGCGGGGAAACTGAATTGGTCTATAGATTATGACATCAATTTTTCCGACCAAATTTAGTGGGGAAACTTAATTGGTCCGTAGGTCCCGTGGCGTCAGGTCGCGCAACATCAAATGTCCCGCTAAATTCAATGGTGGAACTGAATTCGTGTAAGGTCACGTGACATCAATTTCCCCGTTAAAATTAGCGTGAAATGCACGAACGGATGGACGAACAAAATTTTAGGTTTGGGGGTGGCGTTAAAAAAATGAAAGCCGTTTACAAATCCCTGTAACGCCGAATTGGAGCGCAGCTCTTGAGGAGGAGTAGGGAACGGTACTGAGGGGGGTCACGTCACCTGCGGGTAGTCACGTGACCCCGGGGGGGTCACGTGATCTCGGGGGGGGGGGTCACGTGACCTCGGGGGAGGGGGTCACGTGACCTCGGGGAGGGGGGGGGTCACGTGACCCCCCCCCCCCCGGTTACGCCGACGCCGACGCCGCTCAGGCTGGAAACGGGCCCCTAACAGCTGCGCTCTAAAAGTATTTCGTGTTTTAAAAAATGGTACTGGGCGTGGAACCCCTACTTCAGAACTGTCGTTTACGGTATGCCGGCGAATCCTGTCTTCCTTTGAAAGAGAAGTTTTGGACCGATCAAAATAATTGATATTCATCCCGTACGACACGCCCGACCAACAAGCCGATTGCACGAAGACGTCGCCGAGCCGTCGTCCTTATCGTGGCTGATCACATTGGCCACTCAAACGTCAAGCACGAAGTGCCTAATTCAAGTTGAATACGCACGCGTACGGTTTCTCTACTATATATGTGCGACTGTGGCCGATGCGTGGTGCTACCCGACTTCTAGCCGGCAGTGCATGTACTGGAGGGAAATCACGTATCAGCAGCAAACTTTCCGACATACAGTCGACCGGCTGCACTGCTACAAACGAAAGAGTATAAACCTTCAGTAGCTTAGTGGAAAGGCTTCCGCATTACTCGCTGCGGGCACGGGTTCGATCCCTAATGTGAGCATACCATTTTTTGTTGTCAAACATTTTGCGATGTTTACATGCCTTTTTTTTTTTTTTACAATTATCACTGAAAAAAAAAAAACAATTGTTGTGGACGATACGTTGCTGAGCTAAATAGTATGGGATTCCATTTTTGACACCTGCGAAATCAATGTGGTAGCATTCCAGAAAATGCAAGAAGTATATAAATCGGGTAGCGTCCGGTTTCCGAGGTTCCCGTAATTGTTCTATAGGAGTTGCAGCCAGGCATTGATCCCGACCCGTTGACTTTTCGGAAACTTGTGCACTCTGCCGCACAACGCTACTTTCAGGTGCAGGAAAAGTGAGGCAGCTCTTCACGCAACATCTTGGGAGTGTTCTTTTCCGAGCCGATCACGGGAATTACCATGCACGGACACACTTAAATGTACAAAAACAACTCACCTTGAAGTACGGAAAAGCGAGCGGAACAAACATAACTGCAAAGCATGGCGAACGGTTCCCGCAACGCATTTCGTCTGCTGCGTGCGGAAAAAAAATCGCACGGTCGGGTGTAGCCATGTGACTTCCGCCACTCACTCACTCCTCTCCACTTCTCCGTGCGGTGCGGGGGTTTAGGTTTTGAGCAATTAAGTTTTTTGGCTTTATTAAAAAAATACGCGACTCTGTAGCAAAATATTAATTGGGTGGTATTCGGACACCATATTTACTCGCCTGGCAAAAAAATGAAAAAAAAAATAATTTGGAGGGTGTCAGTGTCCTTTTGAGGTGCTTGTTGGTTTATAGCTCTAAACTCTGCCACCGACGTACGGCCTTGGTTTTCTATAGGAAAGATTTTCATCTCTCCTGTAACCACCACGCCATACATCAAGGTGCAATGAAAGGCATATAAAATACACAAATACACTTTCATCTCCAAATAAATATTGGTTTGAACTATTGCGTAAAGTACAAAAATGCATCATAAAATTTTAATTCAAAATAAATTAGCAGAAGTTACTTAAAACATTTTACCTTTTTTTTTATTCTTGGACTAGAATTAAACATGCTCATCAAACACTTATCCACGGGTGCACATAAGAAATAGTGCAATTCTATATAAGATTATTTTTTTAATTAAGTTTTGGTATTGCGCAGCTTCTATAAGCTGTAAATTTGCATGCCTCTCCTCAACGATGTTAATATTTCCATAATTTTGAAATAGCTTCAGCACTATATAACATTTCTCCGCAATAAATTAAAATAATTGCATTTTCACCTCCCCTTCTGCGAGAGAATACTGCACACCAACGATTTGACAAACCAGGCAACGGCTCTATCCTGTATTAATGAAGTTCAACATTTGATTCATAAACCTCTGTATATACCAGACACGAATAGCGATGTGTTGAAAGTCACG